GAAGGTATTCACCCACTTGGGACTGATATATGCCCTGGTTTCTTTCACTGCAGGACTTTCCCTAACATGTATGTCAAATTATTCAGCTTACCCTGGCTGGACAGCCTTCAAGGAGGTCCCCCCTCTGGCCTAAGAAGTGAAAGTTGACAAAATGCAGAAGTTGGCTCTGACCATCATTTCTCTAAGTCTTGGTCCTTCCAGCCAAGTAGTGACTCATTTGCAAATGACTAGGTGTGACCAGGCAAGTTATGTGTTATTTTATCTGTGTCAACAAGCACAATTACAACAGCTGCTATGATAAAGATATAGTCTACACAACAAAGCTATTTTTGCAGTCTTTACAGACCATGCTTTCTTAATCTAGCACCTTTGAAATCATACAACTGACCTTTCACAAAGGTTATTTTCTAATTCCTGGCCTGGGTAACAATCACTCTTTACCATGAAGAACTACATAGAGTTGTGTGACTGCCTGCAACTGGAGGGGTAGGGGTGAGTGAAGCCTTTATCACTCCATTGTGTCCTACTGAGTAGCAATTAGCCTCTTATCCCTTCCCTCTTCAAGTACAATTAAAGCACAAAAGAGTCAGACAGGAAGAGGTTGGAGGCACACATGTAGGATGCTGCATTTACTTGCTAATTTACCTTTTAATCCAGCAAACTGAGAAAGTGCTTTCCCAAACCACAGACCCCTGAAGCCCGTTCCATCTCAATTAGTCCAGACCCATTACTCACAGATGAGGACCCAGAAGTTCAGAAAGGTGGGAAGGTTTCCACAAAATCCTAGAAACCTTGGGGGAGTGAGGTTTAGCACTTCGTTCTCACATTCTTAGACAAAAGTTCTCACAGGGAGGGACTTTGGATTTATCCCATGACCCTAAACCATGTTGGTCCTAGTTTTTTTTTTTTAATGATGGCTTTTAATATTATTGTTAGAGATGGATTTATTGTCTTGATTATTGGTACTAAATATAAACACAGAAGAGTATAACGATCTGGTTAATACTTATAATTTTTTAAAAACCCTCAGTGGCTTGGATTTCCTTTGTTGATTTCTGGGAATAGTGCCACCCATGGCAATGGATTGGAATCACTTAAATTTATACTCATTTTCAAAATCCAGATGTTTTAGGGGCACATTTGAGATTTGTTACAACATATAAAGTGAAATTTGTGAATCCCCAATGATAACCAGATTAATAACTGCCTTGCTTATGCATTCAACACATATTTACTGAGCACACATTAACTCCTCACCACAGCTCACCTGCACTTAGGACTCCTAATTGCACTGCAGAAAATTTAATAATGTCAGTCCTCCAACTGCTTTATCTCAACCAAGTTGACAGCACACTCTGCTAAACTTATTTCCCCACAATGATTCATCTGAAGAACGGTGATTTTTGCTCACTTTCATTTTCTCCAAGCAGTGTGGGTGGAGAGAGAGAAAGCAAACTTTGTTTCATTGTAGAAAACCCGCTGGTTTGACACCCATCAAGGAGTAGAGAATTTTCCTTTTTATTCTCAGAATTATCAGTTTCTTTCTTTTCTTTTCTTTTCTCTCTTTTTTTTTTTTTTTTGAGACAAGATCACACTCTGTCACCCTAGCTGGAGTGCAGTGGTGCAATCTTGGCTCACTGCAACCTCCTCTTCCCAGGTTCAAGCACTTCCCTGCCTCAGCCTACCAAGGCACATGCCACCACACCTGGCTAATTTTTTTTTTTTTGGTATGTTTAGTAGAGACGGTGTTTCTCCATGTTGGCCAAACTGGTCTCAAACTCCTGGCCTCAAGTCATCTGCCCACCTCGGCCTCCCAAAGTGCTGGGATATAGGCATGAACCACTGTGCCCAGCCCCTTCTTCCTCTTTAATTTTCTAAAGTATAAGCTACTATTACCTAGAAATCCTTAATTGGGTGATGTGCACATTTTAAGTATTCTAATAGTTAAGATTATTCCAAAACAGCTTCTTCATACTGTCCAGAATGTGATTATACACATTTGGATGTTTAATCTCCTGTTAGTAGAATCTTAGAGAAGTAAAGCAGGGTTTCAGGTTTGCAGGGCAGAGTTTAAGCTTGCTGAAGGCTGCTAGCACTATAAAGAAAATTGGCTACTTGGGAATTTCCTCATTGCATAAAGTTTAAAAATGCATCCTTTAAGAAGAATTGATTCTTAGTACAACAAAGGCAGTAGTCTATTTTCCATGGGATCAGCCTTGTTTGCAGTTTTGAATGACAGGTCCACAAACTGAAAGGTTTGGTTAATAAACCGGGAACCCCAACATCTCTTTATTAGCACTGAGTAGAGTCAAGTGATCTCAATTACATGGAACAGAGAATTGAGGCAATTATCCAATCATTCAAACCCAGAAAAAAAAAAAAAAAAGTCTTTGGCTTGAATTATACAGAAAGTGCCCCAATTTCCTATTAAAACTTTAGAAGCCCAACTCTGACAAAAGTCTGCCCTTTTAAAATGTCTTAGGGGTAAAGCTAACAGAGTCGCCATCAGAGTATTGAGTTTTATATGTTGTTAGTCGTTTCCAGGTCACTAACCACATTTTTTTCCCCCCAGGAAATGAATTCAGGAATTTCTTTGAACACTTAGCTCCATTGGAACATTAGTCTAAGCTTCTTTTTTATTCCCAGACAAGCATTCTTTATCAGAATAGTAAGACACCTTCGGAACAGGGGCAGGTATTGTTTTTTGTTCAGACTAAGGGGTAAACAAATGGCACCAAAGGAAGGTAGAGGATGTTAACAATCTACGGCTCAAAATTCTTACATAGTTTAGCAACTAAAATTCTAATGGTGGGTTATGTTTTCTTGGGATTCTACACACAGGTGGCATGTGGAAAGCAGTTGGAAAGTACAAAAAGAAGTTAAAAGTATACTAGGAAGAAAAGTAAATGAGGAAATGACAGAGGTGCCAGAGCCAGGTGAAGTGAAGAGGTAAAGCAAAAACCCTTCAAAGATAAAGATCATCAGATTTCAATTCTCTTGTCTTTGTTAGATGAAAGGTAGGCCACTTCTGTGTCCTCAAAATGAAGGGACATTTCATAGAAGGTGCACTCTCCTGGTACCTTCCTAAGCCCAACCAGTTCTGAACCTTGCCCCCCACCTTCCCGGCAGTCCCAGCTCCAAGCCTGCAGCTTTGAAATGCAGGCCTTTGGAATGTACGACAGGCCTGGACAGAACACATCCTGAATCGTAGTCTACCGGCTGGCATTGCCTGATGCTGTTTATGCTTGTATTTACCCAGGCTTCCATCCAGCCACATAAATTATAAACTCATCTATACACCCACTGGGGAATCCAATGCACGCACAGCACAAAAGAGAGAATATGAAATATTTCCACAGGTAAATTAATACAGGATTTAAAGCTCTGGCTTACGTAGATATTAAAATGAGTATGAGGATGTAACTCTTTCTGTAAAAACTTCTTGTTTAAATAGCCCTAGAATCACTTTTTTTAGGCCTAATACCACTTTAGGAAATTTATTTCAGCTGCTACATTTAGCTATCTAATACCGTAATAGAGCTCTCATAGCATTTTTCCAAACTATCTTTGCAATGCTTAAAAGAAACACTTAGATCAGGGGTCAGTAAAGTTTCCATCAAGTCCCATAAAGTAAATATTTGAGGCTTTATGGGTCATACAGTCTGTTACAAGTATAAGACGCTGCAGCTGTAGCAGAAAACAGCCACAAGAAAATATATAAATAAACGTGTGGCCATGTTCCAATAGAACTTTACTTAAGGACACTGAAATTTGAATTTCAGATAATTTTCACATCATGAAATCTTCTTTTGATTTTTTTTTCCTACCATTGTTACCCTGTGGGCCATACAAAACAAGCAGCTGGCTAGATCTGGCCATCAGCCCATAGTTTGCTGACCCCTGGTGTAGATGGTTGAAAGATCAACCTTGTTGCTGTCACAGTAAGCAAAGTGGTAGAGGGATGAGGGAAAGGCAGTGCAAGGAGAAAGGAGGCAATATTGTGAAGTTGCATTCATCATGGGTTTTTTTCTGTATCTTATGATGTTCTGGTATCTTATAAATTTTACTGACAGGGAAGAGACTCCCAGGACTAGCTAATTCTTAGAGACAGCAAAGGACTTGGCCCTGAGCATACCCAACTATTGTCAAGAACATAGCCCCAACCTTCCCCTTTATCTAACTCTCACACACCAAGCCAATACAGAAATTGCCCTAACTCACCCGAGGGTCCAGGTACCAGGCAAATGGAGACCACCCCTCCAGCCCAGAGGCTGCTGGAATTATTCAGCCAATCTGAAACTGTTGACCTTGCTCTGCCTTGCCTCCCTGCAGAAACCTCAAAGCCTATGCTTTCTTCTTGCTCCTGCTTCTGCCCCCAGCCCACACCAGTGCTTCCCCTGTGGCCCTGCATAGCATGGCATGTGCCCTTTTCTCTCGGGAAATTGAGTAATATAAAGATTTCATTGTCACTGGCCTCTCTGCATCATCACTTAGCTACTCCCATAAATTAAAATCTCAACAGGTATCATGAGGCAGAAGTGCCTTCCTACTCTCAGCGGGATCCCAGGACCAGCAGCATTAGCATCCCCTGAGCCCCATCCCAAAGCGACAGAATCTGCATCTGCATGTGAAAAAGATCCCTGGGTTATTTGCAAGGATACTGAAGTTTGAGATGCTGTGGTGGTGTGGTTTAAAGCTTCAGGTCTGCAATTAGAAGGCCCATTTCATGTATTCGTGCCTCTCATTAGCTATGTGGCCTTGTACAAGTTATTATTATTTCCACCCCTAGTAAGTAGAGATGAATCTATGCTAAACACTTAGAAAATGCCTGGCAAATACTACTATCATTCTTTTTTAAAAAATAAATGCCCATGCACAAACTGTTCAGGCAACTTCCTCCGATACATTCTTAGCCAGTCTCTTGAACTGATCCACTGCGATTATAGCCCATGCCCACCCGCAACAATTCCACCCATAAAAGAAAAGAAAGACGCCACAACTCCTGGCCGCAGAGTGTAAAATATATTGATGGTTGTAAAGGGACAACTTGGGGATATTTTAGGTCTGCTGAGATGATGCACAGCATACATACATGCTCTAGTTTTTGGAACCATGTCATTAAGTTTTCAAATACATCTGTTTTGAACATGGTATTTTTTTTTTCATTAGCACGAATTACTACTCTACAGTTTCTTCTAGAGTAAATAAATATAATGGCTGTTTGCAGAGCAACTACAGACTTACTTAGATGTTTAACAAGGTGAACAATTTCACAATTAGATCAACCATTAACAGCAAGGTGTTTTTCATCTGTTTTGTTTACTGCTACAGCGGGGGGGCGGGGGGGATGGTAACTTTTCCAATTTATTCTTTGTTGACATCTTTAGTTACCAACAGACTCCCAAAAATAATGAAAAGTCGGTTAAAAAAATTAAATTGTAATTATGCCATGGGTTTTCCCAAGATCCTTAAAGTCAGCTTATTTAAATTTACAAGAGAAAAAAAAAGGCATCATGGAAAACTAAGTAACAAGAAACTACTGAAAAATACATCTGTAGAACACAGTGGTCAGTTGTAAACAGCTCAGAAGGGGAAAAAAAAAAAAAAAAAAAAAAAGTCCTTCTAGTATGTTAAGCAGTCCAATGACAAACTCTGCTTTTTTTTTTCTTTCTTTCTAGTGGCTATTTTCCTACCACAGTGTTGAGCTTCATTATTATATTAAATAACTTATACGGGTAAAAAGGAGTTTGCTAACCAGCAGCCAACTCAAAATCTTGTAGGAGGAGGGAGGAGAAAAATTTACAACACAGCACACACTAAGGGGAAACCAAGTCCGCAGTCAGCTTCCAACCAGTCTTACCCCTCTCTGGCAATACTGATTGAGCTGAGGTTTGGGATCTAAACGGGGGGGAATGCGGGGGCGCGGGTTTAGATCCCCTCCTTCCACTCCCTTCTTCATTTAAGTTAACAGAAGAAACATGGGCTTCCTCAGAGCCAGCACTCAGCTGGGCAAGTCCCATTAGCAGCAAATGTTCAACCAAATAAAAAAGAACACACACACACACAAAAGAAAACTCCATCCAGGTGCAGAGCTGTGATTCACATGGAAATTCCAGGAGATGAATCATGTGCAGAGCTGGGATTTTTAGAGGATTCTTTCTCAAGTGTCTTCAGTGAACATTTCAGTCTCACAAAATCGGAGTCTGTCAGCTGCAGGAAATAAGTTCTCCATCTGGTCTTGAGTGAGCTTGCATGCTTTGCTGACCGGGGTGCTCCAATGACTGCAGGGTCTTCATGAGTGTTCTGAGTATGAGATGCCAGAAAACAAAGGCCAGCCCCTCCATGATCTGCAGGAAGCAGCAGCAGCAGCAGCAGCAGCAGCAGCAGGCAGGCAGCTCCCACGTGTTAAACTCTGCCTAAGAGGCTCGACCTGAGTAGTAAAAACAACACAACCTAAGACAGAATGTAACAGACTACTTGAACTAGGATGAAAATGCCTTGTGTAATGCCAATTTATCTATCCCGTGTTTTCAGTTTGATTTTACAAAGTTAAACCAGGAAAAAAAAAATTCAAGCTTTTAAGTTATATTGGCTCTCTGGGAAAACTGCTAGTCACTTAAAAAAACCAAACATTTATTAATGGAGATGGCAAAAGCTTAAACAGATAAGTCTGTATCTTGAGTAGGTTTATATTATAACAAAAACAAAAAAAGCAAAGATCATTAATAATAAAGAGCTTTTAGGTATAGGTTATCATAGGTGGGTTTACTTGGTAGATATAAGCATCTTCACAACACATTCCATGAACATTGGGAGAGTTTAAACAATAGTTGACAATAAGGGTGTCTGCCATCAGAGGTGTATTTGTCATTGCCACTGATGAATCTACGTGTCTGCAATGAATGGCTCTAGGACCGCCAAGAAAAGCATCTACGTAAAAATATCTTACTGCCTTCAAAGCTAATGTACAAAAGTTTTCAGGTAGGTACAATGATTCCAGAATATAGTCAGCCCGCTCTATCTGTGGGTTTTGCACCTGTGGATTCAATCAATAGCAGATCAAAAATATTTGAAACAAAAAATATGTCTGTATTGAATATATACAGACTCTTTTTCTTACCATCATTCCCTAGGTAATATGGTATAACAACTATGTATATAGCATTTACATTATATTAGATACTGAAATTAATCTAGAGATGATTTATGGTATGACAACTATTTACACAGCATTTACATTATATTAGGTATTTTGAGTAATCTAGAGATGACTTAAAGTATAAGAGAGGATGTATGTGGTTATATTCAAGTATTATCTATTTATTGTTTTGAGTTTACCCTAAGAGGTTATGTTTTCTTGAATCAGTAAGATTGATGGCCACAAGAAAAGAATACTTCTTCAAACAACAGCAACAGAAAGTTCCATTTCATTATACCAGGGACTGGAGCATCCTCAGATTTTGGTATCTGTAGGAGGTCCTGGAACCAATCCCCCATAAATACCAAGGGATGATTATGCTTAATCTTAGTATCCACTTAATGTATGTATTTTGTAAATTATAATAGCCTGTTTTATTTTGTTTTAACTTCTTCATGGTTGCTATGCTTTGGCCAACACCTGTGATAACCCAGTACCATTCGATGACACTACAGGGGCATGGGCTGAGGAATAACAGAGAGCAAGACTCCGTGTCCAGAGCTGGGGGAGACATTAGGGGAAGACCCTGTGCCTGCCCTCAAGGGGCTTACATAGCAATAGGGAAAAGAACCACAAACACTACACAAAACTGCATGGCTGGTAATGAGAGAGAAAGACTACCTCCTGACTGTACGAGTTCTGGAAAAAGTCTTTCTAGGGAAATACCGGCCAGGGACGGGGGAGGCATTGGAGCTGGGCCATGAGAACAAACAGGATATAGAAAAGGCAGAGTGCGTGGCTTGAACACCAACACAGATGGGAGTTGTTCTTCAAGGCTCCTTAAAAAACAATTTTAATGTGGAAACTGTCTTTTATACCAACTTTCATTTCAACCAATTGATACGGGAGTGCTGGGAGGGGAAGAGCACAGTCCCTTTAAATAATACAGACTGGGAGAAGGGAAGTGCTGGGTAGAGAAAGGCGGGTCCCTGGCTAGGGCTCCACCCCCAAGGACCTAGGTGAGGACAGACATTTCCTGCCCAAATGTTGCATTTCCCAAGACCACCCTGGCCCACCATGCCCCCATCCTGGGCCTATAAAAACCTGAGACCCCACCAGGCAGACACACAAGTAGCTGGACGTGGTGAGGAACACATCTGCTACAGAAGACACAATTGGCTCGTCATCGAGAGGACACTGAGGGGAGCACACTGGTAGAAGGGCATGCCGGCAGGGCACATTGACAGACGCCAGCACACAGGACTGACTGGCGGGATGAGGCGGAGTTTGGCAGGGGCCTTCTGAGGAGAGGTTGGTCATCGGGAGGACACTGAGGGGAGCACGCTGGCAGATGGGCACACTGACAGACGCCAGCACACCGGAAGGCCACTGACTGGCGGGAAGGGGCGGAGTTTGGCAGGGGCAGTTGGAGAAGAGCCCGGGCCACTGAGTGGCCCCACTCCAGTGTAAAAACATCTCCCTTTGGGCTCGCCCATCGGCGGAGAGCTACTTCCACTCAATAGCACTTTGCACTCATTTTCCAAGCCTATGTGCGACCCGATTCTTCCAGTACACCGAGGCAAGAGCCCTGGGATACAGAAAGCCCTCTGTCCTTGCCATAAGGTAGAGGGTCTAATTGAGCTGCTTAACACAAGCCACCTATAGATGGCAAAATAAGGGAGCACCCTCTAGAGGTCTGAGCAGCAGGGCACTGAAGAATCGAGCCACACCATATTCCCATTGCATGCCCTGGGAGAGGCACAAGGGAACCTTTCCCGTTTCACAATCAAATGTTAGATGTCATATGTTACGTGAACAGTACAGACGTGGGAAGACATTACACAATTCAATCTTTAGCTTTTAATGTCCAGCCTCTGACTTATGAACCTTTCCAATCTAACCACTAGTTAAGAGGAATATGTCATAAAATAATAAGAACTAGAAAATAATTTTGTAGGTAGGTCTGGATTAATTTAAAATGTCTGGAGACCATAGGTAATGCAGATACCAGATATCATTCATGTGTAGCCAATCTGCTTATCAATTTTTAAAAAAAATCTACAAGAAAAGTAACAAAAGCTAAGCTATACCCAGGGATCCCACCAAACTTACTGTTTTTAAAAATACAGAAAGGAGGGATTAAAAAGGAGACATATGGAAGGCAAAATGTATCAAAAAAGGATAACTAAAAGGAGTGATTCTCAAATCTTTTATCCAGCAAGATATGTACTCTGAGGCTCATGTTTTGCACATGAATAATATTAAATAGCACAGTGAAATATTTTAATACAAACACAGAGTAATAGAAAATTTTAATTGAAATGTGCCACTGCCAGGCACAAAATTATATATATATGTATAATTAGTCAATGCATTTTAGTTCTATACATATATATATAGGCATCAGCCCAACAAGCCTGTTATATCCCATGGCTTTAGGCATTGGCCAAACCTTCTTTATGTTTGAGTCTGGGGATACAAGAAACATCTCCAATCCTTCACCAATTACTATGATATCCTAAGGATAAGAATTCCAATGCCTTCATACCTTATCCCTCATCCCTCATCACTGGGAGGTACAAAGAAGGCCTAAGCTTTCCTTTGAAACAAACACAACCACCCAAAACCAAGTATATCTTAGATATCCTGGTTCATGAAATCTAGCCTAATATCAAGTATAATGAAGGCTCTCAAATGATTCCGGGACCACAAAAAGAAGAGGAAATGTGCTTGTAAACCCTAGTACAAAAAGGTATACATTCTGAGTTTCTCAGTAGGACTATAATGATAACAATTTTGATTATATTATACCCTGGGCTGCTTGTGCCTATTAAAGTATCTCAAATGCTTAAAATACAAATTTAACCCTAGTTTTGTTCAAAAATACTCATAGAATAGCAGAAGTTGTGAATCTGAAAAATCTCCAGATTATGTTTAAAGTCCCAACTCTCTCAAACAAAGAGGGGACTGAGATCCACTTGGAAAGTGGCAAACCCAACTTTATAAAGCCTACTGGTACTTCTTTTTTTATCTCAGGTTAAATAAAATTTTAGTGTTAGAAGAACTATTCAGAAATGAAGTCTGAACTGATATTTTAGACAAAGTCAATGCATTTTTTTTTTTTTACCATACTTTGGTTCAGTTCCTCATTCTATTAAATAATGGGAGAGAAAAAGAACAGTCACTGTATATCTGCCAGTATAAAAAAAATGAAAGGCAATAAAGCAGAATGATGGCAGTGAGAATTCTGAGCCACAAAGATTTGGTGTACAAGAGATAAGGTGCAGGGGACTTGGAACAGATAGACAGCAGCTTCCTATAGAATGCATGTGGCTTTCTTCAAGTAAAGCCAATTTCCTTCAGACTTGTGCAGCAATGAGAAGGATGAGACCCACCTTAAAGACTTCCACCTGTCTTTCTCTATATGATTTTCAGGTCCTTCACTCTCATAAGAAGCCAAGTAGAGAGCTACAATCAAACAAAAGAAAGTGCATTAACATCAAAGCCTTCTCCTGATATATTATCTACCACCATCCATCCCTTGTTCAACTTGAGCCAAACTCCATAGCAAGATACTCTTCAAAATATCAAGTCATGACCAAGAAGCTTCACTGTTTCATGAAGAACACAGATTATCACTTTGCCTCTGACTGACCATCTCAATGAAAACCCAAGGGCTTCTAAGCCAAAAATGCACCTAATTACCTAAGAATGTATGAGGCAAAAAAAGCTTATAAAATGTAAGCCATATGACGCTGCCATACACTTAAGACTTAATGTTCTTTACAAAGAAAGGGGTGAGGGTTCTTTCCTGGTAGCCTGAGTTGTTTTTTCCTTTTTTCTTTTTTTTTAAAACTCTTTACTAGGTAAAAAGCCAGGTTTTCTAGGCCAATTTTCCATCCTTCTAATATTTTTCTTTCTTTTCAAATCAGAAAGACTCTTCATTTAAAAATTCAAGTTTCTTATTAATCCTCTTTATAGAGATTAAAAACAATCAAATCCCCTCTGGCATAGGTGATATTAATTCAAAATGCTCTCCTGGTTGGGCGTGGTGGCATAATCTCAGCACTTTGAGAGGCTGTGGGCAGATTGCGTGAGCCCAGTAGTTGGAGACCAGCCTGGGCAACACAATGAAACTCTGTCTCTACAAGAAAAAAAAAAAAAAAAAAAGAAAAGAAAAAAAATTAATTGGGCACGGTGGTGCACACCTGTACTCCCAGCTATCTGGAAGGCTAAGGTGGGAGGATTGCTTGAGCCCAGGAGGTCGAGGCTGCAGTGAGCTGTGATTGTGCCACCGCGCTCCAGCCTGGGTGACAGAGTGAGTCGCTGTCTCAAAAAAAAAAAAAAAAAAGTCATTATTGTAAATACTATCAATCTACTATGAGAAATTGTTAATAGGTGCTATTAATTCCTGTAATATTAGGATATATCAAATCAATAAAATAAATCTCTAAATATTTTATGAGCTCACTTCTCTTCTGATGATTTTGTTCTGTATCTAATCACTTGTTCTGCTTCAAATTCCCTAATGTTTTAACAGGTTAAAATGTTCCAGTACTTTTTTAAACAGCAGGGGGTAGCAATTTACTGTTTTTGTTTTTTTTTCTCCAAATTACATGGACTATCAACATGCCACAAAACACCTTTTGTCTATTCAAGTAAGTTCAAACAAGAAAAAAAAATTCTTCAGTAACCCCATTTGTGCCCACAGCTTTGCAAATCTGGTATTATAAAGAATACTTAAACACAGAAACATACTGTTTGTAGGTGAATATTAAGTGCAAATATTTTACGGACAAATCATACATTTTCTGTGAAACAGAAAACTCTTAACATGGAACAGATCAGAGGACAGGCCTCACTACTATATGAGTAACCAAGCATTTCTATACTAATATCCTAAACAAAGGATTTGGGGATGCTAGTGGTAGCTCCCACTGAATGGCCTTACCATCTTCACTGAAGACTGGTACTGTGATCAGATACTGCAAGATCTTCCGGTCCCTCTCAAATGGACACTCCACTTGTTTCCATGTCATAAATTCACTCACTTGTTTGGCCAGTTCCCAAAATTTCTGGAAGATAAGTAAAAAAAGGATATAAAGGTGATCATAAAAAAATAATTATGAGGTTGGGAGAGGCAATTCCATTAGAAATGATTCCTTCTTATTTTATTAAAGAGACAGGGTTTCACTCTGTCACCAAAGCTGGAGTGCTGTGGTACAATCATACAGCTCACTGCAACCTCAAACTTCTGGGCTCAAGCAATCCCTCAGCCTCAGCCTCCCAAGTAGCAGGGACTACAGGTGCGAACCACCATGACTAGCTACTATTTTAATTTTTTGTAGAGACAGGGTCTCACTGTTGCCCAGGCTGGTTTCAAACTCCTGGCCTCAAGCATTCCTCCTACCTTGGCCTCCTAATGGACTGGCATTACAGGCATGAGCTACTGCAGCTACTTTCTGGTCTTTGCTCTTCTGAACTATATAGTTTTCTTAATTTAATAAAACTCTATTTGTGAGGTATAAAAATTTTCTCAAGCTTCCTCAAATAGTAATAATAATCATCATAATGGCTCAGTTACTCTCTTCTACTTGGTATTGTTAATTTCTTAAACAAAATAACATGGAAAGAGATAATTTGTTCTGAAACTGCAGAATTGGCTTTGGCTGTGTGGCCTGGAATGCAGTGCTGGAGAAGCTGCCCCTCTCCTTGTGCTCGGATTTTTGTATCCTACTTTATCACACTCACCTCAAAATTGACATGGCCATTGGGAAGGCGGTTGGCACAACCCTCATTGAGGAAATAAATATCTTTGATTAAGAGACTGAAGAATGGTATCACAATCTAGAGGAAACAAAAGATTCTGATTTGTCTGGGCAAGCAAATATTTAATCTCTCATAAAAATACACGAGATTAATGAACAACATTAACTTTTGATTATATGAAAGGCCACAAAGAATTAAGGTACAGTGTTTTGTTTCTTACACAACAGTAATTTCTTCCTTTACATAATTTTGCTTACAATACAACTGCTATTTATAACCAAAGCACAGCAAGGACAAGTAGCATTGGGAAGTGAATAGGTTAGCACTTTTATCACAATTTTTCCTATTTTTCTCATTGCAGTAGTATGCAATAAAATCTGAAAACTCTAGCTATTAAGAAAGAAAAAATACCCAAAAGAACTCTTGCCTTTCATTTAGCAACCCCTTAGCAAAATGTTAATAGAATACCTATCACTGCAGGCACCATTTTTTTTGAGAGACAGGTCTTGCTCTGTCACCCTGGCTAGAGTATGGTGGTGCAATCATGGCTTACTGCAGCCTTGAACTCCTAGGCTCAAGCAATCCTCTAGCCTTAGCGTCCTATGTACCTAGGACTACAGGCACGTGCCACCACATCCAGCTAATTTTTAAAAATTTTGTGTAGAGACGGAGTCTCACTATGTTGCCCAGGTTAGTCTTGAACTCATGGGGGTCAAGCAATCCTCTTATCTCAGCCTCCCTAAGTGCCCAGATTACAGTCATGAGCCACCAAGCCCAGCCACGTACCAAGAGTTTAAGATGCATGACCCATCTCCCTGCTAGAAGCTGTACTGCTTATTATTTAGATGTCTACATTTAAGACAGATGTCTACATTTAACTTTTTCTTTTAGATAAACATTTCTTCTTGAAGACATTCCTCAAGATAATGTGAGAGCTCAAGGTTTTAGAATAGTTGCTACAAACTTTCTATTGTAAACCTGGCCTGTGTATGACGAACAAGTTAGCACCTGCTCTCATGGGAAATCACCTAAGAAGTACCTTGCACAATATGTTTTGAGACAAATGTGCCCCAGGTGAAGGAGGAAATATGAATGTATAAATTAAAATTAATAGTTGTTTAAAAACAACAAACCTTTAAAAATACTTTCCCATCTGAATCCTTTGGCTTGATGAGGTGGTATGTAATTAATTAGCCTAAAGCAATAATCTCTCAGTAAGTACCCCAAACCATACTAAACCCACAAGAAACAGAGAAAAAGGCTCACATACAGTGATTTCCATTTTCTCTCAAATGTCAACATATTTTTAAAGATTCTAAACTTCCTACAATGTAAAAAAATCCATTAAACACCGATTGTGGGTCTATCTTGTTTCCCCAAGATCAGATCTTTGAAGTTTTCTAAGCTTATGACTCAGGTGGTACTTCTATATTGAGTGAACAGGAAAACATACTTTTGGGCTCCCACACAAAAATATTAAGTATCAATTCCCTTCTAAGGAAAAATTCAGATTTTCACCAAAGTCATTTAAAAAACAAGTTTTGATTATTTTTGTTTCATTGATTTCTGAAAATAACCAAAATGAATCTTCCATTTTGACATCTTTGGACATCTCACCTAAATATACTTTTAATCATTTGTTATTATCTCTGAAAGTCTCTAAAGCCAAATTAGTAAAGATCTCATTACCTTTCCTTCTAATATGATTCCATTATGTTAGAACTAAACAACATAGGAACAATAGTAAAAGTACAACTGAAGCTTGCTTCTTTGAAAGACTATTTGTGAATGGGAATGCTGGACTTTGGATGCTGCCAGACAACAGTAAAAAATGTGGCCTCAGAATTCACTGGTGGTATAAGCTAGGAGTTGGCAAACTGTGGCCCTCAGGCCTCTTTTTTATGGCCTAGGAGCCACACATTTTACATTTGTAAGTAGCTAAAAAAATCAAAATAATAATATTTCAAGATGCATGAAAATTATATGAAATTCAAATGACAGTGGTCATAGAGCTTTAATGGAAGAGAACCATATTCATTCATCTTCATATTGCCTATGTCTGCTTCTGTGCTACTGTGTCCAAGGTGAATATGCACTTAGAGGATAATAAGGATACATCATCATAAGACAGCCCCAGGGAAATAAGAACAAAATTATAATCAAGATGTAATATTTGTATACTGTAGCAGCTTTTAAACAAGAACTTTATTTTTGTGCTCTATTCTTTGGTGCTGAGCTGTGAGATTCATGAGGTGTTGATCATTGACTGTTTCTTATTGATATTTAAACTTCTCGTAAATTCACACCAAGTGCCTATAGCTGAAATAGAAATTCTAGGTGGCAGAGGCTATACCTTACATGATTTTTGCATTCAGGGGTGCCTGCAAGATGCTCCACTACTATCTCAATCACTCTTTCATAAAAATAAAAATATAACTAATCTTACTTATGATACTTTACTGCTCTGTTCCTTATGCCTGTATACAAGAAAGAAGTCTTGCAGGCTTCAACTTTTCATTTATTCATGGATAATTCCCTTCAGATCTGTAGCCCCTATACAAATCTAATACAGTGAAAATCAGATTATAAGGACTTCCATGAGCTCAGTGAATGTACACATTATTAATAGGACAAAGCAAAAGTTTATTTTCCTGAAGGTCTTGTCAATGATGTTTTTAGCAGGAGAACTTCTCAAGTAGTAATATTTTTGAATTTCCTTTCAAAATATTCTTAGTTCAGAGACCCAGCAACTACACCATAAGGGTTTTGCCAGTTCCACACCTAGAAAAGAATGCTGATAAATAGGACCAAGTAAGTTCACAGGAGCAGAATTGGAATGGCAAGAGGATTTAAAGCCATGTAATCATATGAGGAATGGTTAAAAACCTGGAGATACAGGTATCTACAGAAAAAAAAAAAAACAAAAAACAGCTATTTAAAGAATATTTAAGGGCTGCTGTGTAGAAGACACATTTGGTTTGTTCTATATTAGGTACCTAGAGATGTGCCACTGACCACACAAACTTGAGATTTAAAAGGATACAAAAGATTCACCATATTGGTCAGGCCTGATCTCGAACTCCTGACCTCAGGTGATCCACCCGCCTCAGCCTCCCAAAGTGCAGGGATTATAGGCATGCGCCACCACGCCTGGCCAAGAATCCCAATTTTCTTGAATAAAAGGTAGATTTAACTAGAAATGCTTTCACTCTTAGCCTTTGAGACCAACTGTAAAAAGAGAGGGCAGTTTTTAAAATGGCTGTGAGGTTTTTTAAATTTTACTTTAAGTTCTGGGATACACGTGCACAATGTGCAGATTTGTTACATAGGTATACATGTGTCATGGTGGTTTGCTGCACCCATCAACCTGTCATTTAGGTTTTAAGCCCCACATGCATTAGGTATTTGTACTAATGCTCTCCTTCCCCTTGCCCCCTAGCCCCCTTCTGGCCCCAGTTATGTGTTGTCCCCTCCCTGTGTCCATGTGTTCTCATTGTTCAACTCCCACTTATGAGTGAGAACATGCAGTGTTTGGTTTTCTGTTCCTGTGTTAGTTTGCTAAGGATGATGGCTTCCAGCTTCATCTGTGTCCCCACAAAGGACATGATCTCATTCATTTTTATGGCTGCATAGTATTCCATGGTGTATATGTACCACATTTTCTTTATCCAGTCTATCATTGATGGGCATTTGGGTTGGTTCCATGTCTTTGCTATTGTAAATACTGCTGCAATTAACATATGTGTGCATGTGTCTTTATAGCAGAATGATTTATATTCCTTTGGGTATATACCCGGTAACAGGGTTGGTGGGTCAAATGGTATTTATGCATCCTTGAGGAATTGCCACACTGTCTTCCACAATTATGTAAATTACATTGAACTAATTTACATTCCCACCAACAGTGTAAAAGTGTTCCTATTTCTCCACAGCCTCACCAGCATCTATTGTTTCTTGACTTTTTAATAATTGAATGGCTGTGCTTTCATTTGTTTAATGAACTACAGAGTACAATTTATATGTTCACATAGAACCTGTTTAAAACAAAACAAAACGAAAGTAGACACAATGTATTAAATGATGTAAAGGGTAAATACTTGGGACTTTTTGTAGAGAAAAACTTAGAATTCCACAACTGAGAAATTTTGGAGGGACTGCACTTCAGAATTTCTTTGGCCAACACTGTAGCTCCCTACTCACAGATATGATTCCACAGACTTCTGGGGCAGAGCCCACCAAGCCCTCACTGAAGCCCATGCAGAGAGAACCTTGCCTGCCCTGCAACACAGAGAAGGTGAATGAGGCCACATACAGCCCCTTCAGTGGGCTTACTCTACAGTGTGCTGCAACTCTCCCGTATGTGCTCATTGTTTGAAGCTTAAAATACGTCATATTAGATTCTTTTCTCAATCTAATCACAAGCATACTGGGATGGAGCAAGTAAAACTTAAAAGCTGGCAAACCCTGTTAGGCTACAGTAAGACTGTCATCTCTGCTTCATATCCCCTCCGATCTTATAAGTTCCTTTATTTGAAGAAAAAATTTGAAGGATTTACAATATCCCTCAAACGTTGTTAGAACTGATATTTCAGATCTGATTGAGAACCAACTTAGCATTTACTAAAGGTGGGGTTGTGTGTTTATTTTTATTTTAGATCATTGAGGCTGAAGCTTTTTCAGGGGACGTGATTGGGAAGCTGTGAAAGGTTTTTTACCTCATTTTCTTTCATTTGTGGAAGATATAGTTTAAGTTAAAAGATGGATGGAATTGAAACTGAAAATAACCTCTATCAAGCAACCTTCATTAACCCAGTTACCATAACTAAGCATTCACTTCTCAAATACCATGACTGCCAAATGCCGAAACAGCTTATCCTTCCCCTGTAAAGAAATATGACACCGAGACGTGCCAAGAAAGGACCCTCAGAATCAAGAATATGGTAGAAGAAGGATGGTACTAATTTGTTTAAGAGTAGAGTAGAGTGAGAAAGGACCATTAATTTCTCAGACATTACCCCTGTACTTTTTCTGCTACCCCCATAATCCAATTAGTAACAGCACGCCTAATGCTACAGCAACTAACCTACTTTCTGAAAATAAATGACTTAACCATGGGAGGTAAGCTAATTCTTTTAAGAGAAAAGGTTACATTAAGTCAGCTACCTTGTGCAGAGCTTAAATGTCTATTTTCCATTAAACTAAATTACTCTTTAATGCTATTAGTCATCTTAACATATGACTTAATGTATTGCTTGAAACACAATTAAGAGGCACTACAGAGTAATTATGTAAGTAATGTAATAATAACACAGCAATATCCAGTCTAACAAACTTTCTGGTAGCACTCTCCGTCTCTGTGTGGCAAGTGGTATCATTTCTAGAGTACATGTCTCTCTTAAATCTCAACAAGTAAAAAAGCTTCAGTGTAGTAGTTCCCATAGCATTTCAGTATAAAACACAGCAACTCTACCATAAGAAAGACTTTAAGTGCATACCTTTTCTCTACTACTATGAGCAGTTAAAGACCTTTGTGCTGCTCCACGAAGAGCTGTTCGATAATTATAGAAATTGCTTGAAGGGTCCATCTGATGCTATAGATAAAAGAGAGAAGAATATTAACTATTTATTGTAAACTTCTGTAGGAAGTTTACGAGATCACACATTTAGCTACATATGAAATTCCAAATTAGTTAGGAAACTCAGTAGGAATATGATTTATCCTTCTCATACACACAAATGCACATGACACACATTGCACAAGTGTTTTCTTTCCTGAGGTTTGGTGTAATTATGTGAGCTGATGTCAGCTTCAATAATGTTAAACCTAAACCACATTCTTTCTAGGCTAATTGTTGAGCTTAGACGTAAAACTAATAAGAGTCAAACACCAGCATCAGAAAAATTTCCTGTTTGCTTCTGAAGGTCAATGGGCCCGCTGATGGCTAGCCATGTATAGTGATCCAACACTTTGTAGTGACAAATCATGCACAAATAATTGAAGCATATCATTTGCAAGAAGGAAAAGAGATGTATTGGATTGTATGAATAGATCATAAAATAATAGGTATAATGATAATTTCCAATTTGGGAGAAAACTTGGGAAAGAACGCTTTCTTCTTATCTCCAAAGATAGTAATTCAAAGCACTGGCACACCAAGGTAGTGCTCAGACGAATATGATTTAAATACACATACTCTGGCACACGATTTTTTTTTTCTTTTTTTTTTTGAGACAGGGTCTCACTTTGCCACCCAGGCTGTAATGTAGTGGTGTGATCTTGGCTCACGACAGCTCCCACCTTCCAGGCTCAATCAATCCTCCTGCCTCAGCCCTGCAAGTAGCTGGGACTACAGGCACGCACCACCACACCCGGCTAATTTTTTGTATTTTTCATAGAGGTGGGGTTTTGCCACGTTGCCCAGGCTGGTCTTGAACTCCTGGGCTCAGGTGATCCTCCTGCCTCAGCCTCCCAAAGTGCTAGTATTACAGGCATGAGCCACTGCGCCTGGCCCACAATTCTTACTATCCTCAGAATTGTATGGGAAGGGCTTTTTCACAGGTCAGCTAAATTGCTGAAAGGATGAATAAATGTTACTCTAGGGATGGGGAACACTTCCCCTGAGAAACTGAAGATAAATGAAGCTAATAGGCTCACAGTGAAGTAAAACTCTCAACTGCTCAGGACCGAAATTCCATTCTGGCATATAAGGTGATATGACTGACAGCTCACTATTTCCCCAGTCAATTAACCCCAGAATGGACATCTCTACCTATAAAACAACCAGTACATAACCTGATTTATTTTCCTCTCCAATTCTACCCACTTTCCTTTCCCGGGGTCTGTAAAGACGGATGGGCTTTTTCCTCTGTCATAGTCTGAAGGAGAGGCAAGACCACATAAAGGAATTCTACTTTCCAGGTATAAAGTGTTACTTAACAGCAAAACATCGGCTTCACATACCTCAAGAATGTCAAATTTTGCAGTCTTCACTTTGGCCCAAGTTTTTTTTAGTCGAGAGACTGGGCTCATATTCATACCAGCTTCCCATTTGAAATGGAGGGGGAGAAAAAAAGGAAAATTGAAAGAGAGAAATAAGAAAAACCATAAACATATACTTCTAAAAAGCATTCATTACTAAGTGAGAATACTAAAATTAGTAAGTAACGAACTCCAATTGTATAACTTTTTTTTTTTTTTGCAAATTCTGAGTCGAGAAACAGCATAAATGCTACCATTGACTCTGTGCAGAGGTAAACACATTTTCTCTATAAAGGGAAAGAGAGTAAGCATTTTAGGCCATATGGTCTGTGTCATCACTACAAGACACTATCACTGTCGTGCAAAAACAGCCATCATCCAGTTATGTAGATAACTACATATACAAATGGTTATGGTTGTATTCCAGTAAAACTTTGTTTATGTGCACTGAAATCTGAATTTATATTACAGTCACAGGTTAACAATGTTAATATTATTATTTTCATTTTTTTCAATCATTTAAAAAGATAAAAACCATTCTTAGTTCGCTGGTCATAAAGAAACCAGTGGTGGGCCATATTTGACCCACGGGTCATAGTTTGCTGACCCTTGACCTAGAAACTAATGTGTCAACCATGCTTTGTGTGTATTATCTCATATATCCCCTCAACATTCTTAAAAAGTATGCTAAAGTTCCAGGGAGTAAGACATTTTCCCAAGGATATCCAGTTAACAAGTAACAGAGATGGAAGCTCACACGGAGTTAACACCATAACCCACACTCACTCCAACAAGCCAGGCTGCCTCTCCTGAATGATACTTTACGTATTATAACTATTCAGAAAAATATTACAGTGGCTGTTGTACAGAAAAGGAACCCACGCTAGCCTAAATGAGTACATATATTAATTCCAAATCACCATATTCATATTTTAAGGACGAGAAGTGGGAGATTGCTTCCTAATTGAGGTACAATTTACATACAAAAAAAAAAAAAACAGACCTTAAACACATAATTAGATGAATTTTGACTAATGTGTAAGTCCATGTATTACCACTCCAATCAAGATAAAGTAGCACATTTCATGATCCCAGAAAGCTCTTGGGCCTCTTCTGGTCACCTTTGGACCCTCTTCTGGTCACCTCCCCACCACCACAGAAATCAGAACACTGGCTACCTAAAACCACAGATTCGTTTTGTCTGTCCTAGAACTTCGTATCAATGAAATCATACGGTACCTACTCTTGTGTCTGGCTTATTTTGCACAACATAATGATTCTAAAATTAATCCATGTTACTTATATGTATCAACTGTTCATTTTTATTGCCGAGCAGTATTTCATTGTATTCATATGCCACAATTTATTTAGCCATTCATTTGTAAATGGGCATTTGAATTGTTTCCAGTCTTGGGCGATTATGAATAAAGCTGCGTTCTTTTACAAATCTTCCTGCGGACATGTGTTTGCATTTCCATGGAGTAAATATATAGGTGTGTGCAATCTCTGCATTGCAGGGTATAAATATGTTTAACCTTACAAGAAACTGCTGAACAGTTTTCCAAAGTAGTAGTACCATTTTATACTCCTGCCAATAATGTACAATAAGAGCACCACTTGTTCCACATCTTCAACACTATTTTGTGTAACCAGTTTTTAAAATTCCAGTCATTCTAGTGCATGCAATGGTATTAATATTTTGCTGCAATTTAATTTGTATTTCTCTGATGACTAATGATGTGGAACACCATTCCAGATACTCGTTAGCCATTAATATACAGTGTCTTCTTGCATGACATATCTGTTTCAATCTTTTGGCCTTTTTTTCACTGGGTTATTTGTCTTTTTATTGATTTACACGGTTCTTTATAGATTCTAGATACAAGTTATTTGTCAGCTCTATGTATTACAAACATTTTCTCCAATGCTATGGCTTGCCTTGACATTTTCTTACTAGTAGAAGAGGGAAATTAAGTAATCTATTATCTAGACTGTGAGCCTTTCAGTCCCTGATTCAGATAATCTTTCTGTTTGCTATTTTCATGGAGTTAGTCAGATAAATAATAAGCTGAGACTTGGCCAGTATTTTTCTGGGGGGAGAGAAAGAGGAAATTGTATATAAACAAAATGGAAAAATAAATTGGTGGAAGGGAAAATTTATTAGATTAAGATTCTTGAATTAAATTTGGTAGACTCTCTAGCTTTAAACTGATCCTTCAAAAAGACCTCAACTCTCTTCTTCTTCTCCTTCTTTTTTTTTTTTTTTTTTTAAACGGAGTGTTGCTCTGGCGCCAGGCTAGAATGCAGTGGCATGATTTCAGCTCACTGCAACCTCCGACTCCCTGGTTCAAGCAATTCTGCTACCTCAGCCTCCTGAGTAGCTGGGATTACAGGCATGCACCACCATGCCCAGCTAATTTTTGTATTTTTAGTAGATAACAGGGTTTCACCATGTTGGCCAGGGTGGTCTCGATCTCCTGACTTCGTGATCTGCCTGCCTTGGCCTCCCAAAGTGTTGGGATTATAGGCATGAGCCATTGTGCCCAGCCTATTCTTTTATTGAAATGTTTATTGAGCACCTACAATTTGTAAGATGGCCATATAATTGATCATACAAACTAGGACACTTTTAATGAAAGAACTATTATCAAAAGCTATTATCAATAATTAAGGCAAGACAACAGGTATAAATTGGAACAACTAAGACATATTGTTACCACACATATTTATAGAATGAAAGGAAAGAAACACGGTCTCTGATGTTAAAACCTCCATAATATAGAGGAGTGAGTTTGTACACTAGAGTAATAAGGTCTGAGGATGATAAGTACTAGAAACCTGAACAATTAGAAAATGTGCCAGTTTCTTAGGCCACCCTCTTGTCCAAGGAATCAGATAATTGAGTCTTGGATCATTATTTCTATAATACTTGATATGCAAGCTGCCAAAATGCTTTTTAAACCTCTTTATTTAGACAAGTATCTTACCTACAAGTCTTTGTAGATGAATATTTAGCTAAGGTTAACTTAAAACATTCCAAGAAGTCTTGCATACTTAAGAAACATTACACACCTACTCGCACCCATTTGCCTATTTAAAGCATTTTGGACATTCTCAAGTAACTCAGGATTAAAAAACACAGTCTGTACTAACAAAACCATACTATTTGCAAATTTTCTGTGGGTCACTTTACAGGATTCGTACAGATAAAGGACATGTATCCGCCACAAAATACTCACAGATTATCGCCATCAAGGAGTTGAAGTTGCCAATGTTAAAACACTCCCGAGCTACGTCAATGAAATACTCAATCATTCTTGCTCGGTGTTTTTTCTTAACAGGCTATATAGTAAAAGACAATGGAGGGCAGTTATCCAGTATAAAGACCCAACGGTTCTAAAATAAGTAGGAAAAAATAATATTGAGAGCTAGGAGACAGAAAATTCATTTCCTCACCATACAGATTTCTGTAGCAACCAAGTAGCTGAGGCGATTAAACCATTCCACGTAAGCTTCTAAGTTTCGTGTTTTCTTCCGTTCACTGTAGCAACTCTTTAGAGAAAACAAAGTAAACGGATGAGTTAGAGGAAAAAAAGAACGTACTGGACTCTCATTTTGTGAAATATAAGCCTTTATTCTCAGTTTATGGATTAGGCAAGCTTTTTAGAACAACAGAAGAGAGAGAAAGACAATCACTGGCATTCTTGATTATCCTTACAGAAATATCGAAGGCTTTTAGGATAGTCCAGTGAAACACCTGAGGTCTAGAAATGTACTCTAATGCATTTATAAAAGTGTCCTTAAGCCGGGCGCAGTGGCTCTCGCCTGTAATCCCAACACTTTGGGAGTCTGAGGCGGGTGGATCAGCAGAGGTCAGGAGTTCAAGATCAGCCTGGTTAATATGGTGAAACTCCATCTCTCCTAAAATACAAAAAATTAGCTGGGCATGGTGGCGTGTGCCTGTAATCCCAGCTACTCGGGAGGCTGAAGCAGGAGAATCGCTTGAACCCACGAGGTGGAGGTTGTAGTGAACTGGGATCACGCCATTGCACTCCAGCCTGGGTGGCAGAGTGAGATTCAGCCACCAAAAAAAAAAAAAAAAAAGTGTCCCTAACCCCTCTTCCTGAGAAACTAAGTTAGTCTGGATTGTATCTTCAGAAACACAATTCAGAGGAAGAGCTCTGGCTGCATTCCAAAACAATCCTGACTCAGTTAACGGAGTGCAAATACCAACTGCTATAATCGATACAGCAAAAAGTGGCTACCAGTACAGAGGAGTACAAATTTTTCTCTTAAAATTAAGCATAGGACAAAATTTTACAACATAATGTTGCAACAAACTAAGTATCTTCCAAGTAGATAAACAGAAGTCTACACCATCATGGTCTTTAGTAGGGTGAGTAACACATTGTTCAAAGGCAAAAAAGTTCATCTCATCTTGAAGTTCAAGGCCAGCTTGAAGAGGCTAATTACACCCCTCTTTCCTTCCTTCCAAAAGAAACAAACAAACAAAAAGTCCACTAGCCTTCTATGGCAAAACAAATTCTTCACTTCCTGTATTAGGAGACACTATTCTAAGTCCGGAAAACAGCTGTTGCCCCTACTCCCAGAAGGGGGCTTTCATCAGCGGGTGTTGTAGTCTTTGCCTAACAATTCAAAATGCTTCCAGGTCACTGGAAGAAAAAAAATTTCTTATATGTGTACACTGATTTGACAGTCCACGCCCAGCATTAATTTCTTTAATAGTGGGCTGCACCTAGGCAATAAACCTCTCATGAGAGATTCACCTTAAAACAAGAGGCAAAGCGGTCAAGTCCTTTACTCAGCAAGCTGGATGTGCATCCTGCCTTTCCTGCCCCTGCTATTGTTGAATTATGGGCAGAACCTTCTCAGCAGATTCTTAATCTGCTAAAACCATTATGCTTTCCTCTCCTATTTTTATCACCACAAATGCCTGCATCTACTTGCTGTAAAGGTCTTACTAAATTTCCCAGTAAGGAGGAAGAAGAGGCTACAAGTTAGTGATGGGGCAATATTGTAAAGGAGCTTGGAGACCTCGCTCAAGAAAACTGCAATGAATCAGACATGGCTGATGGAAAAAAAAAAATTCTGATTTTAAAATCTAAAACCGAATATAGTTCTAACTTCTGTCCCTTATACCCACTATCACAGACTGAGAAATCCCATTTCTGGTTTCAGTGTTGACCTTTGGGTAGACTGATTACCTTGTCATTATCCAAAGGGCCCTTCTGCACGAACGCCTGAACAAATTCTTCCGGCCCAATATAATTGAGCCTCTCCTGAAACACAAACCCAGAAGGTCAACGGTATTAAAGAAGGTGAAAAGAAATGGACTGTCAACTCCCTCTATGACTTTTGGCACCACCTCCCATTTCTTAATGAAGATTATAAAACAAGCCTTTAACCCTAAATACTTTCATCATCTTCAAAGTCTGTGCAGAGGCAATTTTCTGCTTGGGTCAATATTCCACAAGATAGTGAAAGGCTGAGCAGCTTTTGGAAAAACTGATTAGAGGCAGAAGGTGAGGACGGTCAATAAACTCTTTGCTCTTTAGCCTTGTTTAGTATTTATTTACAAGTGAATCCCCAGAATATCAGAAGCATTCATACTCAAATCCATAAACATGGTATGTTTCAGCTGTCTCAAATGATTTCCCACTTGGATTATTCTAACCTCTCCTGTGACCTTACTTTTGACAAATATATTGTCTGGTTGCCAAAGCAAAGCAAATCCGTGGTTGTAAAGAGCAAAGATGATAACGGCCTTACCAGCTCTATATGAGTCAGTTGCTGGGCCAACGTGTAAGGGTCATTGCAGACAGTAATGATATCCCTTTGTATGGACTGTGGCTTGGTCTTGAGAACTGTGAGCCGATCTGTGGATGTGGAGCTGATTTTTGCCAGGACTTCTTCATACTGGCTGAGCGCGGCAAGTTTGCGGATCAGACACTGCATCATCTGCTGGACATTCTTTCTGTATGTCTGCTAGGGAATGAGCGAAGAATTACATCCGTGCTCTGCATGTCTGGTTTTGCCACTATGCAAACTCAGAGACTATGTCCTCAAATGATTTTACCTGGACACTGGAGAATCAACTGGGTTAAGGGAAGTTACAGGAAGATTTGGCTAGCTCTAACAGTTGGAGACACATGCATAAGGCGTTTTCAAACCTGTAAGGTTTAGTTCTTCTTTGGGGTTGCTACTGAGAGTACAATTTAGGTTGGGCCATGAAAACACTACAGTGACAATTTAGATTACCTCTTGAGGGAATCCAGTATAATGAGTACTAAGTATAACTGAATGTCCTCTGTTCCAGCAAAGAAATGTACCTACCAGTTTACTGCTGGTGGGTTGAAATACATTGATCGCAAGTCAGTGCATCCTTTTCCTAACACTTTTTCTTTAGGGCCACCCTCTTGATTTCTCTAGTCCTATCATTCTCAATCTCATCAGTCTGGCTACCTAACAGAAATATACCATTACTTCCCATTCACCCCCTCGAACCACCTTCTTTTTGTTTTCGTTTTGTTTTGTTTGAGACAGAGTCTTGCTCTGTTGCCTAGGCTGGAGTGCAGTGACATGATCTTGGCTAACTCACTACAACCTCCGCCTCCCGGGTTCAAGTGATTCACCTGCCTCAGCCTCCCGAGTAGCTGGGATTACAGGCATGCACCACCACGCCCGGCTAGTTTTGGTATTTTTGTAGAGACGCGGTTTCACTATATTAGCCAGGTTGGTCTTGAACTCCTGACCTTGTGATCCACCTGCCTCAGCCTCCCAAAATGTGGGGATTACAGGCGTAAGCCACCATGTCCAGCCTACCACCTTCTTGACTTACACATAAAATGTGGAAGTCATGAGGAGCAGTAGATATTCATTTTTGAATATCTGAGGAAGATATTCCTCAGATATCTGAGGAAGCAGTAGATATTCATGAGGAATATCTACTCCTCATGAGGAAGCAGTAGATATTCATTTCTGGCATCTGACTTCCATTGGGCTCATATTCATTCCTTTGAACTCAAGACTCACTATTAATGTTCACAACTGAACTCTTCCATGTGGCAATTCTCCCTGCAACACTACTCCCAGGTGCCACTTTGTTTGCTACTTCATAATGCTGCAGCCTCATGCATAAAATAAACTGGTTTAAAAAAGCACTGCATGTAGTTTAGATAACTGTCAACCTCCTGACTTTTAAAACATTTGTTAAATCAAGAAATGACTTCACAATCCATCAATCCCAGGGCACAGCTATGATATAAGTTGCAGAGTCCATTTAGTCTTCCTTTTCTAGCCAAAAATTTCCAAAACAATATTCTTGCAGGTAAATTATGATGCCTGTATCAGAGAAAGGCATACAGGCTGATTCAATGCTAACATGGTCCTTAGGTTAAATCTCCAAAAGAGGATGGCCCCAGTAAACCTACAGATATAGAAAGGCCTAGGTTTATGGCTCCATTGCCTTTTAAAAAAATACCACAATATCATTTGCTGAGATTAATTACCTGAAAATTAAATGGCATTTACCTACAAGTATAAGAGCTACAGTTTTTTTTTATAGAAGCAATTTTGTTTATTACAGTATATTACAAAAACCCAAACAAAGAGATATTTGCTTATGAGGAGAATAACACCATATATGGAAATGGTTAATTCTTGCATATTCAAGGTGTAAAAAGCATACACAGACTTCTTTTCCTTTTCTTCTCTATTTGTTAGTGTATATTCTGCTGAGTCATTTAAACTGGTCCATTACATGACTTCTATTTTTCTCTACAGTCATGGATCACCCTGAAATCACTAATGAAACACCTATGTATTTAAAATTTGAACCGTCAAAAATCCCACCTTCCATACAGCATTCAGGTTATCAGTTTAGAAAATGCTATTTGGTAGTATGTTTGTCACTCAAGGGAAATGTCTCTTTTTTGGAATTCAAAGCTGTTCAAGGATGAGTTGAGGGTTATTTTAAATCTCTCATTCCTATTTCCCCCTCCTCTTTTACTTTTATAAACTTGAGTTACATTAAAAATCTATGTCCAGGCATGGTGGCTCACATCTGTAATTCCAGAACTTTGGGAGGATGAGGCAGGAAGATCCCTTGAGCCCAGGAGATCGAGACAACACAGTGAGACCCTGTCTCCACAAAAACTTATTTATATATTGACTGATTGATTGACTGAGACAGAGTCTCACTCTGTTGCCCAGGCTGGAGTGCGGTGGTGCAATCTCAACTCACTGCAACCTCCACCTCCCAGGTTCAAGCAATTCTCGTGCCTCAGCCTCCTGAGTAGCTGAGATTACAAGTGTGTGCCACCACACCCAGCTAATTTTTTGTTGTTGTTGTTGTTCTTGTTTTATTTTTGTTGTTGTATTAGTAGAGATGGGTTTTCGCCATGTTAGCAAGGATGGTCTCGAACTCCTGACCTCAAGTGATCTGCCCACCTCAGCCTCCAAGATGCTGGGATTATTAAGCATGAGCCACTGTGCTTGGCCGCTACAAAAATTTAAAAATTAGCTGGGCACCTGCAGTCCCAGTAACTTGGGGGAAACTGAGGTGGGAGGATTGCTTGAGCCAGGGAGGTTGACGCTATGGTGAGCCCTGATGGTGCCACAGCACTCCAGACTGGGTAACAAAGCGAGAACCTGTCTCAACAAACAAAGCAAGCAAACAAACAAAATCTATCAACTTCAACTGTTTTATTCAGTCCTTTGTCCCAAATGTCATAACAAATGACTACATGAGAGTTAGATACTACTTCTAATAATTATGCAAATATTTCCCAGGGTATTACTCAGACTGGTTTCTGAACACCTTCTTGGAGATACCTTAGTTATAGCACATACTATCCAGGGTAGAATCCCTTCTCAGCCTTTTGGCTAGAACAAGTGCAGAGTAGAAAATATGTGTTACAAAGTTGAAGTTTCACAGTCAGTAACTGTTTACAAGAGCAACTCACAACTATATGTTACTACTTTACTAAACAGAGCTTGATAGGAAGAAGGGACTTAATCTTCTTTGCTAAGTCTTTCTCAGAAAATGCTGAGTTTTCGGTATAAACAAATTTAACTTGTTTGTGTCCAATAGAATAGATTTTAAAAAGAAAAAGTAACATGGCCCAATCACATACTGGAATACTGTGTAGCAGCTGAAAGAAGATCCAGCTACCTGCACTGACATGGAAAGGTTTCCAAGACATAACACACAGAAAACAATCAGGGTGAAGAATACTAGGTAAACACACACAGAAACAAAAGCCATACACACTACTTTCTATGAACACCTGTATACATAGGAGCAGCTCTGGAAGGATACACACAAAATTGACAACAGCTGTTACCTTTTAAGAGAGAAGTTGGATTGATGGAAGTTTTATGGCCTCTTTTGCTTTGTATGAATTTTTGAACAAAATCCAAGTGAATATATTCCTATATTACTTGACATGTTAAAAATAAAATGTTTTAAAGCTTTCCCACAGAATGGGATTTCTTGGATAACACAGGCATGAGACATGCACAAGAAAGTTATTTTCACCTAAAAAAACCAACAACTCACTTTAAAATATTCATTATTCTATGCCTCAGCTGCTATTCCATGCATGTTATCATTCCTACATCATGCACCTTTTCCTCACCCTTTCCTGGGATCCATGCAGAAAACACTTTAGCTAGAAATTATTACTTCTCTTCAGGGTACCACCCAATTATACCAGCTGGGAAGCAATGAGCAGAACAAACTGCTGAATGGGGGAGCCTGGGTTCCACCCCAGAGATTACGATTGACTTGGTCTGCAGTGCATTTGGGTCACATGATCTAGATGCGGCTCAGCTGATCCTTGTATAAGCCAAGTGTGAGAAGCAATGCTTTACTGGCATATCTGCTGAAAGATTTTTATTCCGCAATTTTTTTTTTTTTGAGGTGGGGAGTTTCACTCTTGTTGCCCAGGCTGGAGTGCAACGGTGCGATCTTGGCTCACCGCAATCTCTGCCTCTCGGGTTCAAGAGATTCTCCTGCCTCAGCCTCCCGAGTAGCTGGGATTATAGGCATGCGCCACCCCGCCTGGCTAATTTTGTATTTTTAGTAGAAATGGGGGTTCCTCCATGGTGGTCAGGCTGGTCTCGAACTCCCGACCTCAGTAATCTGCCTGCTTCAGCGTCCCAAAGTGCTGGGATTACAGGCGTGAGCCACCGCACCCAGCCTATTCTGCAATTTTAAAAAAATTTATTGGCGGAAGAGGCAGAGGAATGTACAGTCAGGTTGTTAGCAAAAAAATGCATCAAAATATCATGGAAAAATGTACGTAATAGAGTATGGGGGAAAGGTATTCAACAACTAGTGTGTGAGCATGGGAGTCAGTGTATGCACGCCACCTCTTTTAAAAGTTTCCTGCTGCCATTTGATTCCATTTGAGAAATCAAGCTTTGTGTTGTTAAGCACGGTTCCTCACTGAGTCATGAATTACTAAATATGTACTTACTCTTTTTTATAACTTCAAATGCCAGTGACAGTAATTACCTGGCAAATAAAGATAGAAGTTCTTATTATAAAGACCAGCCCCTTAAGGAAGAGAAAATTGCATTCTATCCACCACAGTCATTTGTCATGTAATTCAATCATTAGTTTCATTTCATGTTTCTTGCAGGCAAGTCCTAATAAACCACTTCATTTTGGGCAAATCCCCAGGGGAGAAACATATTAAGCCAAATTATGCAGAACTGTCCTGGCAGATTCAGAAGAACCTGACTAAATTATATATAGGGCACACCTGGATTCACTGACTGCCAAAAGGGAAAAAAAAAAAAAAGTCCCAGGCAAGAAGCAACAAATCCCAACCCAGGCTCATATTCCTTCCAGTAGAGGGAAATAATTTTTCCTTATTCCAGTAATTCATTTGTTCATTCATTCATTCATTGACTCATTCATTCAAACACTACTGAGAATACTAGGTGCCAGGTACTGAGCTAGGAGTTAAGGAGGCCAAGGTGAACAAAGAGGGCACAGCATGGGGTCTAGAGAGGAAAACAAGCAACAAAAATGCAAGCACAGTCATCCCTCAGTATCCTCGGGAGATTGGTTCCAGGACTTCCCTGCAGATGCTCTCACATCTCTGTTACAAGATGGTATGGTATTTTCATACATCTGCACATCCTCCTGTATACTTTGAATCATCTCTACATTACTTATAATACCTAATGCAACGTAAATGCTATGTACATCACTGTGATACTGTATTGTTTAGGGAATAATGACAGGGAAAAAAAGGCTATATATGTTCTGTACACACTTAATACTTTTTGAATATTTTCAATCTGAGGTTGGCTGAACCCATGGATGCAGATCCCACAAATACAGAGAGGGGGCCAGCTATACTTACTCATCACAGAGTGCTAGGAACCACTATGAAGGGAAGAGCAGCGAAAGCCAATAATGGGAGAGGGGACGATCATAGTTGGGGTGCTGAAGGAAGGTCTCTCTGAGGAGAGACACCTAAGCACATGACTGATAAGGAGCCTGACAGCCAAAGAACTGGAGGAAGGACATCGATCATACAGTTTCAGAGCTGAAAGGGCATTAACACAAGGCAGTTACTTCTATGATTTAAAGAGACGAGGAAGGAGCAAGGATTTAGAGGACTAGCCAAAACACACTCAGATAAACCAGCTGGCAAGTGTGGATTTGAATTCTGAATACTGAATAGAATACGGAATACTGAATAGAAGCAACTAAAGAAACAGGTTCCCTGTGAAACCCAACCTGATCAAGGCAGGTGACATCTCTCCACTCAACTCTTAGTTTAACCAATTCCTCAGTTAGAACTGGCTTGTCTTCTTATCTCCTCTCTTCATGCTCAAAACCATCTGAACTTCACAAGGTTTCTATCAAGACTGTTATTAACATAGGAGTGTTGAAAAGAAGCCAGGGTCACAAGGCTGTTTAGCCCTTCTCTCTGTTCTACCCAGCTCTCGAATAGCTTGATTCTGTTAAACAAAAAGACCAATTTTCATCTGGTAAACACAGATAGAAATGATTTCCCCTTTGACTCCCGCAATAAGAAGGACCATCCATTTGGTATTTTCAAAACACCAACATTTCATCTTAAAATAAAAAGATTTTTAAGGTGTTTCTTTTGGAAAGAACTAAGTTATAAAGGCAATAGAGGGAAGATAAGATGATTGACATAAAATGTTAAGTAGCTAAAGACAATCTAACTGAAATGAAAACCGTCTGACTTAGGTCTCAGCCTTCACACAAGAAAAAGCCCTTATGATGTCACTAATCTTTTGAGCAGCTTCAGATACATAAACCAAGGTCACTGAGCCAGCACTGACCCTGCCGAGGAACTCCCCGGCTAACCCCCCTAATATAAGATTTGCTACAAAACTGCACCATGATGCTTAATTTTTGCCTTTGTAAGCAAGGGACCTATCAATTCATACCTGGCTGGAACCTGTAATAGGCAAACTGGCAAAATGATTATAACCGTCATAACTTGCACAATGACTCAGGAAATGACTCATTCAGCCCGGCAGAAATAATGGCTGTCTCGAGCACTTGGGTTCATAACAATATAATGTCAAAAAGTAACAGTAAAATGGCTAATTCCATTTTCATGAGAATATAATACAGGAAAGCCCATACAAATTTTTCAAGAGCTAACCTTATATAATTTTAGTCTGATTTTGTAAAATTAGGAGAAATTGTATTAAAATGTTTATATCTATTAAGATGCCATTTATTATTATCTAACTAGCTGTGTCAAACCTTTTTGGAAGGAAAAAAGGTACAAGTAAAATTAAAACACACTTGCAACATAAATCCTGTGCATGAGTTGACATGAACATAGCCCCAAAGTTATTCAGACGAAAGTTTTTAAGTTTTTCACTTAATTCCCTCAAGAATTAATACACTTCCCCTTTTCTCACAAAAATTACAGCTGGGCACAGTGGCTCACACCTGTAATTCCAGCACTTTGGGAGGCCAAGGCCAGTGGATTGCTTGAGACCACAAGTTCGAGACCAGCCTGAGCAACATAGTGAGGCTTTGTCTCTACAAAAATTAGAAAAAACTAGCCAGGCACAGTCGTATGCACCTGTAGTCCCAGCTACTAGGGAAGCTGAGGTGGGAGGATTGATTAAGCCAGAGAAGTCAGGGCTGCAGTGAGTCATGATGGTGACACTATACTCTAGCCGCCTGTAATTCCAGCACTTTGGGGAGGCCAAGGCCAGTGGATTGCTTGAGCCTGAAAGTTCAAGACCAGCCTGGGCAACATAATGAGGCTTTGGCTCTACAAAAAATAGAAAAAATTAGCCAGGCACAGTTGTATGCACCTGCAGTCCCAGCTACTAGGGAAGCTGAGGTGGGAGGACTGATTAAGCCAGAGAAGTCAAGGCTTCAGTGAGCCATGATCACAACACTCTCTCCAGCCTGAGGAACAAAGCAAGGCTCTGTCTCAGAAAAAAAAGATAGGGTATCAAGTTATACGCTGCAGCACACTACTGAAAGAGTTCTCAAGGAAGGTTATTCATAATGGAAAATGCATTTTAAGATGAATGAAATGTACTATCATTGCCAAATGCTTCACCTACTTTTTCCAGGTGAAAGTGTATCTGTGCCTAAACGACTTGTTCCCAGAAGCTGACCTGCAACATGGGAACTACAAGGACATCCTTGCCCAGCAAGTCTCAACACAGAATACCAGCCCTCCAGACGTGCTTCCAAAAGGATAATCTTGAATTTGCACAGCTAGTAGTTAGTGCTTATCAAAGGCTCAACTGAGGGAAGTGATAGTTATGAAAGACTATCTAAGAGACTTCCTTTTAATCTCCACCTATACTAGACTCTATCCTTAAATCAACTTCTGAGCGCTGGAAGACTTGACTCATTTCCTCAGTCTTCTCCTCCCCCAAGAATTACCTTTGCTCATTCACACATGAATCTATGAATTCAGTTTCTATCCAGGAAGGTGTTGTAAACACCATAAAGAACAGTTCCTAGGATCTCATTCTATGACCCTATACAAAGTTCTTCAGAAGAAAGTTTTTAAATTTTTCATTTAATTCCCTCAATAATCACTATACTTCCCCTTTTCTGACAGTGAATATCACATGACCAGCTGTATTTCCCTTTTACCTGGAACTTAAACTCATACCACAGCAGTCCTATCCTCCTCTACTCATTCTCAACAGAAGCATATTTGTTTGCTTCCTGCCACAGCCCAGAATGTCTATTTCTATTTATGATTTATTAATCTACCATTTATCATTGGTTAATGTATTAATGTTATTTACTGTGTATCCACCAGTGTTTATATCTATTAACCTGCCATTTATTATCTAACTAGCTGTGTTAAACCTTTTTGGAAGGAAAAAGGTAAAAGTAAAGTAAAATTAAAACACACTTGCAACATAAATCCTGTGCATGAGTTGACATGAATACAGTCCCAAATTAATCACATAACACTCTAGATCATACCCCTTTGAAGTGGGATGGTATAATCATTCTCACTTGACATACTAAACAGACCAATATGTGATGTGGAGGGCTTGCCCAAAGGCAAAACAGGGAGGAAGCAGTGGAGATTAGGATGCATAATTCAGCACCATTTCCCAGCCAGGCTCTGCCTGGGAATGCCAGTGGCCCTGCTAAATTCAGGTTACCAACCTCTTCGCCACTGGCTATCCGGTGAGCCAGATCTTTTAAGTTTCTCATCATTCTTTCATCCCGAAAATCATAGGGAAATGTTTCCGTCCATTCCGTGAGGAGTTGAAGGATTTTGGGTGCAATTTTTCTCATCTGGTTCTAGGGAGAAAAAGCATATCTAATTCAGTGATATTTATCACTATAGACTACATCAAATAAATAGTTACAAACAGTGTCACTGAGAAACTTCTAGTGCAAAGTCTTTAGGGATGAAGAAGAAGCTCCAGCCCCTCTCCCTCCATGTCAATGCCAAGTGCCACCAACTTAAGGCAGGACCTAGGGATCCTCAATTGCATTTAATTAATTTATTTTTTTCAATTTTAAAATTTTTAATGTCTTTGATTTTTGAGACAAGAGTCTCACTCTGTGCCCCAGGCTGGAGTGCAGTGGTGCGATCTCAGCTCACTGCAACCTGCCTCCCAGGTTCAAGCGATTCTCCTGCCTCAGTCTCCAGAGTAGCCGGGATTACAGGTGTGCGCCAGCACAGTCAGCTAATTTTTGTATTTTTAGTAGAGATGGGGTTTCACATGTTGGCCAGGCTGGTCTCAAAACTCCTGACCTCAGGTGATCTGCCCACTCTGGCCTCCCAAAGTGCTGGGATTACAGGCGTGAGCCACCGCACCCAGGCTGCATTTGATTTATTCTGTGTTCTTTATTCTTTACACCATTCACAATTCCCCTTGCATAGCCACAATGCCATTTATGCACTTCAGCCTGGGGATAAGCCCCAGTTACTTAACGAACCAACTTCACAAAAATCTAAGCCATAGAGTCAGCATTCCTAATAAAACAAACTGAATAATATTATAAATAATTATAAAATTATAAAACAAAAATAATATTATAATATTAAAAATGTACCATTACCTTATCACTATCAGGATCACTTAGTCTCTGGTGCTCAACACATAAGTGGCAAACTTTGGCCATTAGCTCATAAGGATGCATAAATAACCGAGAACTGAGTAGGAAGGTAAATATGTATGTTCTCTGCAGCAAGAGAAAAAAGTCATCATTGTTACATTCTCTCTAAAATTAATATCTTGCCTTTATACTATACATCTTATTTCATTAAGTTCTCCTGATCAAGTTAATATGCTGCAGTTTCAAAAGTAATGCCTACTAGTAGTAAAACGGTGTAAGATTAATTTCTCCTTTACCTTCTGATGTATGTTTTCCCTTAAACCATACTAAAAATAACAGAAGTACAGGATAAGTTTGGCTCCTGGAATTATTCAGAGCACATTTTCACATCCATCCTCAGGGAGCCAGGATACCAAGACACATAACTCACTTTAGTAAAGAAGAATGAAATGCAGCCCAGAGAGATAAATCTTACTTGAATATACTACCCATACAAAACATGGTTGTGTGTCCAAATACTCTGTAACTCAACGGAAACCAAACAAAAAATAACAACAAAAAAACCTACCTACCCAATGCACATAACACTCAAGAATTCTCCAGGGTGTCTAGCACATCACACTAACGTGTTTGTGTCAGAACATTCAAAGGCAGGCTTTCAAGTAACCTATTTATTTGCTTAAAGGCAAAGCAATTTAATAAAGCACAATATAACACTATATACTTTTCTTTAACCACATTGTCTCCCAAGAAGCCAGTAATGAAGTAGTGCTTATTTGTTATAACAATTTCAGACTCCCATTGAAAAGAGAAATTCCATGGGATTTTTCTTTTTTCCTTAGGCGCCTTTACTAGCTCATAAACACTTACAGGGCTGAACAAGGGATTCCTTTTACTTTTGATTACAAGTTTTCCCTGTGTGGCAACATATCTGAAAATGCCATGTAACAAAATACACAGAGAGATAACTCAGTAAGAAACACTATGGTGAATTACTGTGGTAAGCACGAACTATCCTTTGCACACCAACGTTATCATTAAATTTATAAAGACAAATGAATGCAGTCTCTAGATATTTTCATGAGATCTTTATCAATAACCAGCTGCTCAGCAAATCTCCTACTACTACGCTCAATTCCATAGAGGTAGCTGTAGCACAGGGAAGGGGAAAAAGTCATTTGTCCCAGAAAGAAAACCTGTGTTTGACTGCTGATGCTGGGAGTGAGACCATGAGCAAATACTCAACACTCTGAATTAGTTTTCTCCTCTCTTCCCTCTTGGAATTACTGTGAAGACTGAGAAATCATATAACAAATTCCCTAGATTTGAAAGTGCTAGCTATATAAATGTAGGTTACCAAGGTAAAACAAAGCAACCATGTCATCTGATGTTGAATCTATAAAGAATTACATCTTGAGCATAAATCTTGTTTTCTCTTCCATATACTTTCCTTGGTTACATTCACTTTTCTTAGCATAGTGCTGGTCTTGGAAACAAAAAAGGCATTACATATTCTGGGAGCATCCAATGTTCTCTGACATTTCTATTTAAGGACTAAGCTATATGCATGAATCAACTCTACAGATACTTCATTTAGATGGTATCAGACTGTCTACAATGTAGTAACCAACCTGAAAAGAAATTGATATGCACAGTACACCAAAATCTGATCCTTATCCAGGCTCAACTTGATTTCAATGCACTTGATAATCAATATGCAATTTCTTATTGGAAAAATTCTCAGCAACCTAGACATAATTCTGTATTATCTATGGTCCCTGCCTACTGTACTGTAATTTCTACTCATTGCCAAGGATGTGTTTCAGAGAAACCTGAATACCTACATCTGGATAGTAATCCACATTAGGTACTAAGTGCTGGATGAGTGCTTCCAGGGATCCGGAGAGGAGGTTGTTGTCATGGTAATACAACCCTCCACAGCTGTCCTCTGCAGACTGATAGAGGTTTCGATTGTAACCACTGCTGTCAAACATTGCTGAAAAGGGAGGAGTCTGAGGCATACTTTCCTAAAAGGAATAAAAAAGAAGAAAACATAATGTCAGCAATATGCAGTATGAACATAAAGGTAAGCTTTAATAGGCACTAAGATATAACAGTAATGAGAGAATAGGCAATTAAAATAGTAGTTCAGGTTCTGACACAGTATCAGAGCCCATCAAGAACCAAATTGCTCTCTGAGTACCACATGTAAGCATACTTTTGAGTACCACTCCCATTCAATCAAACATCACACAACGCTTAGACCAAGGGGCCCACTCTGGACTTAAACTCAAGTCTCTGGCTGTCATATTTAGATGTCACTCCTTCATATCAGATTGTGAAAGGGGCAAGGGAACTGAACGTCGATTGCTTTATCGTATGGAGTCAACAATTTTCCTAAGGTGGAAATGTGTACACCTTAAAATTTGGTTGGGAAAAGTTACCTAACACTGAAGATCTATCTGAAGGACCTGAAGACAACCAAAATCGAAGCTGAAAACACTAAATTGCAAAGTAGGCCTAGAATTAAAGTACACTGTGTGCGTGTTTATATATGCATACGTGTACACACAAGATTTCATGTAGGCTCCTCAGTTTTCACTGAAAGATCAGATGCTGTTGACTTTCTCCCCTTTGTGTTAAATTCTCCTGGGGCTGTGGGGTGGTATCTTGTAAAGCCTCAGTTCTCAATAAGCATGCAGGCTGAGAAGGCACCTGATTTGGGAACAAGGAGCACTGTGACAGTCCTGAGATAAGTTGCTCCTCTCCATCTGTGTACTTTGCAATTCACAAAGGCCTTGTCAGAGGGTGCTCTGCAGACGGCAGAGGCTATTAAGTTATTACTTGAATTCCTAGGGACGGCACCCGGCCCTGAGAACAGACTCCCAGTCTCTGGCACCACGTCTGCACAATGGAGGCATTGAAGAGCTGCAGAGACTGGGGGCTTCAGAAGGCAAACAATGAGGGGGAGCCATACTCCAAGTCGTGGACTGATGGGGACAGGGTGCGTGGAGGCAGCAGGAGGACACAACCTGGACTAATCTTTCTTTTCAAGATGCCAAAAGATATTTGCATCTCAATGTGGGAGGGGCGTGGAGCCCTGTCTGAGAAGTCACATCCATCACTCCTTGAGCATCTGTTCCAGCTACAGCTGATGGGTATACAGAGCATCACAACCTGTGCACGTGCCTCAGCAGGGGGCGGCCAGGGGTGGGGCATTAAGAGAAAACATCCATCATCAAAGCCAACCTGGCCGGTGAAAACAGAATTAGAGAAAAGAAACATCAAGAGAAATAAACAGGAAATAAAAAACAACTTCATTTCTGGGTACTTTGTCCCCTCCACAAACCAGTGCTGAGGGACAATTTAAAGGGATCCATGAAAAAGCCACAAATGGGAAGAAGATGTTGACTGAGAACCACTCTATCCACAGGGATTTGTGACTATCGGGGTCATTGGCTCCATGGCTCTCCTTTAGGTAGCACATAGTCATAACAGCCAAAGGGTCAGGCACTATGGGATACAACATTAACACAAATAGTCTGCACACACCCTTAGTTGGCAAGACCTCACATGTAGAAACTGCAGTTAAACAAATAAATCATTCAATGTTAACATTTTATAAGGCAATAGACAAGGTACATTTCTTTCCTCTTCGAACTGCCAGGTTTCTATGAGTACAACTCCTGTGCAATATAATCATTGCAAACTGGCCATCCTTGGTGGGAAGAAAAAGAGCCAGTCTGTCCTTGCCCTGAGAAACTCATAATGTCCTCAAACTAGGAGGCAGGGACCTGAGATTAGAGGCACCTAAAAGCTCCCTCAGATAACTGAGAGACAACTCTTTGTCTGGATTTGGTTGCCCCTGGCTTAAAAAAGCTTTAAATGGTTATAACCACAGTGTCCTTCACATACAGCATGAGGAACGTCATGCCCTTGGAATCGGGATTTTTTTCTTTCAGGAACCACACAGTTTCCTTCATTGGAGCACTTACTCATTGCTAGTACAACCATTCTAACAAAGCACTTTTGGGAGTTGGTTGGCCAGGATTTGGAAATTCCAAACAATCAGAAAATCATATTCAAAGGAACCACAGAAATCACCTGGCCCAGGATCCGGAAAATATTTCATTTCACTTTCCAACTGCTATCAATTCAAGTGGTTGTCTAAAGGCCTGAGGATGAGCAAGGAGGATATGCAAGCTGTAACTCAGTGGGAGAATGCAGGTTCTAAGTGATTAGCAATGACTGTCAGACAGTCATGGAAGGAGACGCAGCCCATGTGCCATCACAATCTAGTCCAATCTCCTCTTCTTATAAATGTGCACACTGAGACCCAAGGGGGTAAGGTGACCAGGCTAAGATGACCCAGCAATGAGGCCACAGCACATCGCTGCACTCCTGCTGGATGGAACTCCCCTGCATCAAGTACTTTCTGGCCACGGGCTAATTAGCAGTAAGCACCAACCCATAAAATGGTCATGGGCCACTCAGATTTTGTTTTCAAGGAATCAGCACCAAAAGCCACCAAGTATTTGCACTTCTTAATTATTTACTCCTGCAGAGTAGACAAGAGCTTAGATCTGGACAAAGATTCAGATTTAATGAAGCCCTAATTCTGGCACTTAATGGCTGTGAAATCTTCAAACCCTCAACACCACCAGGTATGTTTTCCATCTGTTATTTCCAATTTTGCTAATCCCTTCCAAAATCCTAAATAATAACAAAACTACTTATCTTCTTTAGCGCAAGGTTCTTCTTAGAGCATTATGATTAGAGCAATGGCAAAAGACTGTGTATTGTTTTTTGGAACTATATCACTCGTAGTATTTCTTTGAAGAGGTGCAAAGTATCAATACTTAGAAAACTCCCTCCAACAAAGCACCAAAAGAAAATAAAGCAAACAGCGATAGAAACCAAACTGAGGTAAATGAATAAGGGTTATGGCTTACTGTACTTAAAAATCAACTGTAAGAAGAGAGTTATGTCACAGGCTATTTTCTGCCTTCTAACAAGCCCAAAGTTATGTGGCTAATTAGCTGATTTCATTTTCCCATGAAATCACCTTGATTGCTGACCTTGCACATAGCAATAACTGACTCCTGAGATTCAAGTCACTTCAGTCCCTTATTTATTATGCACAATAGTCTTATTTTTCTACCTCCCCATATACTCCAGACAGAACCTTTTCAATTCCTTAATCCCTTCTCCCTTCGTTAGTCATAATTCTTCTCACTATGGGATACTGTGTGCTGGAGAATGTCTTCACATGTCACAGCCCTTTACTCTCTGAAGCCCCCCTCCAGGTCTCTCTCACGACATCCGTGATGCAGAAGGCTCTGAGAATTTCAATGGCTCCATTTGTGTAATTGTTTACTGACTACAAATGCCTTCCTGGATTCTACAACCACCTCATCTGGCAGGCATCCTCATCTTTTTTTGACTACATAAGCAGCTGAGGTTCAGAAAAACTGTAATAACTAGCTTGGGGTTAGACATGGAGTAAGGGACAAGTGGGGTAGGGTTTCAGAGTTAGGTCTTCAGATTCCAGGTTCAAAATTTATTACACTACATCACGATATGCTGCAAATGGTCTTCTTTGAACTTCTAACGTTTAATCATTAAACGAAAATCCTGTCAGTCTGTCTCAAATTGTAGGTTATTAGAATAATTCACACATTTTACATGTTCTACATAAATCCTTGCTCCAAAGAAGTATTAGTACCATTAATTACTCTTATTAAAAAGTTCAACTGTCAACAGCAGTATTTAAGCTACTGGCCTTTGCCATCAAAGCATGGTCTCATCAAGACACAGAGATTCCAATATGGACTTTAAAAAACATTGTAATATCCTCAAAACTGGGATGTGTGTAAACAGTTGAATGGTAAAAAAAAAAAAACAAAAAAAAACAAAAAAAAACATGTTTACTTAACAGTCTTTTTAAGTGATATATGCAATGACAGAGCATCTAACAATGGATAGCCTCTTAGACTCAATGAAATATAGTAATATTTGCTCATGTGTATTTTATAGATTTCCAGCAAAAAAAAATTTAATGAAAGAAATGACCAAGAGAAAAATCACGGCTCACAGTATTCATCACTCATTGCTGGACAATGTCTAACAAGTGGCCAGTCTAGCTGTTTTTGGAAGGATCAACTGCCTGTGTAATAGACGCGCTTGATAATCACAAGGAAAAATCAGCAGAATGGTACAGAAAGCACTGTTTGTGGAACAGAATTCTAAATACCTATGAAGACAAACATAGTAGTCTGTTTTCTCTAAAGTATCTTCCCTCTTGTTAACCACACACCAAGAGCCACTGTTCGTTCTGTATTCCTGACTTGGTATCTGGGTCTTTTAACTGCTTCAGTTCTGGAATTGAAAAGTGAGGAGCAAAAGACCTAATATTGGTTTAGCTCTTGTTAAGGAAATAAATCCAATATTCAAAGTACTGGGCATGAGAATCCAGACAAGTATTTACCCCTGGGCACTATTAACTCCAGGAATCACTTCCTAACGATTTCTCCAGGGGAAGAAAGGCTCAGGGTAAGGTTGCTCATAACCCGTAACTTCTATTTATTTCATTCAGTCAGTGCAGTTCTCATGCCTTCCTTACTGGCAGCAAATCTTCTCCTTTCAGCTTCCACAACTAATATTTTCTGTCTCTGAGATCCTATAAACTCTCAACTTACTCCTCTCTACACTTTGCAACACAGCCTCAAAACTAGCCTCTCCGCTGTCTGCCATCTGTCGTTAGTACAAATTTTGCCTAACTCAACATACCTATCAATGGGGACCAGCCAATGAAAAATTTTGTTTAGGAAAAACTGACTCTTCTCCAAAATTAGAATATGTGGATGGAACAGCAAGTTAAATACTGGCATTAATTTACCATAAAGTCCAACTTCAAAGTAGCCAATTCCTTCGGAAAAAAGAGATTTGTATGAGACACAAGAAAAAGCTGCTGACTTTATTCAAATCCTACCAATAATACATAAAGCAGAGAGCAGGTTCATCTCAA